CCCCTCGGAGTTTTTTCCATGTTCAGCAGCCCCAGGGCTCTCAACCTTTTCTCATCACAGAGATGCTTTGGGCCCCTCAGCATCATCCTCAGAGCCTCCACTGGACTCTCTACAGCAGTTCCTTCTCTCTCTTGAGCTGAGGAGCCCAGACCTGGACCCTGGCCTGTTGAGGTGGCCTCCGTGGGGCAGAGTGGAGGGAGAGGAGAACCTCCCTTGACCTCCTGGCCACACTTTTCTTAATGCACCTCAAGGTGTGTCACCCAATGACATCTGCTAGCCTGAGCGATGCTCCTTCCCAACACACCTCACTCGTGGTGGGGCAACTGGCTACTGAAGGAGGAGACTTCCCCATCCTCCAATGCATGACCCCAACCCCTTGTGATGGGGGCTGGGTGTGGCCACGCTGCTGGGCTGGGACCCTTCCTGAGCTGAAGGGCCCGTGGTGGCCAGCAGAGCCTCAGCCGGCCTCGTGCTGCAGCAGGGGCCAGTGGCTTTTGGGTGGGCTGGTGCTCGTGTCGTCCTGCCCGCTGACCACGCGGCCTTGCCTTGCAGCCTCCACGGGGTCTGTGACCCAGGTGTCCTCCGTCAGCACCGACTCTGCCGGCTCGTCCTACTCCATCAGCGGCATCCTGGGAATCGCCTCCCCCGGCACCGAGAGCAACAAGCGCAAGCGGGATGAAGGTAGAGGGACGGGCGCTCCGGCGGGGCACCCGTGGGCTGCTGGGGGCCAGGGCCGGGGTGGGGCGGGTGCTCTGTGTGTGTGACATGATGGGGCTGTGGACATCCCCCATTGCCATCTGCTGTGGCAGCGGTCCCTTGGCTTGGTCCTTTTTTGACAGGCCTTTGCTAAGGTCACAGCCAAGCTGGGGACCTTTGGCATGACCTGTTGGCCAGAGGCAGGACCTTCTTGGAGGAGCAGGGTGTTTCAGAAAGCACTGGGGGTCTGTCACAGTTCTTAACCAGACACTCCTTCCCATCAGGGAACATTTCCCTCCAACTAGTGGAAAGAGGAGGAGTCACTGGTGTGGTGACTCTGTGGCCACCTGAACCCCGGAGTGGTGTCTCCATCCAGGAAGAGACAGAAAATTAACGGCAGAACAGTCGGCCACACTGCATCTCTGCAGGTCCCTCTGGCACCGGGGGCTTTTGTCAGTGTGAGGGTGGAAATGAGGATGATCTCGTTGGGGTTGAGTATTTCCAGTGCTCCTCAGCTCTACTGCAGGGTTTATGGTCCTGTTGCATTCTGTGTCCTGAGTGTTTTCCTAATGAAAACAATGCTCTGGAGAGAAGGATGCCAAGGACAGAGCAGAAGGGAAAAGAAGAAATTCTGCATTAGTGTCTTACAAAAGTGACTGTAATCTAGAGCACCCGTTTGGTTTATTAAGAGCTTTCAGAGAGGAGTTGAGGCTAAGGGCATAGGCACATTTGTGGTGGCAGAGGGGTCACCAGTCCCTTAGTGGGGTTGCTGTCATTGAGGCTGTGAGGTCACCAGGAGGAAGGGTGGGTCTCCACCCCACAGCAGCACTGGTGGGCTGGGGTTCTGTCTGCCCTCGGTGGGGGGGATGCCATCCTGCCTACCACGTCAGGCTGCACCCCTGGTCCCCAGCTCCTGGGCTGCCCAAACAGGGCTGGGTGCCTGCAGATGCCTTGGTGGAAATGCCTGATCAGGTCATGGGCAGCGATGGGTTCAATGAAACTGAGAGAGGTTTGTGAGGCCAGAGTCGGGCAGGTGGGGACGGGTCTGATCGTGCAAGTGCAGAACTCCCTGTGCTCGGGTACTGGCTGGGTATGCCCTTGTCAGTTAGCTCTGCGATTGTACAGCTGATGTTTCTTTCCACGTGAAGGTCACAAGTACCCAGATAAGTGCATGCATGGAAGACTGGAAGTGCTGTGTTCTTAGAGCCAGGGCAGCAGAGGGGCTGGGCGGCTCCGTCCCAGCCCTGTCCTGACTCACCCTTTCAGCCGTGCCTGTGATCACAGAAGACTGGTTTAGTTGTAGAGAAAACAATCAAATGTTTCCTTGGAAAGAACAGAAGCAGAGCTAAGAAATTCCCCAGCTTTTGCCCATTCACATTTAGAAGAGAGCACATGATTTCTAGCACAGCCCCATCGTTTTGGCAGGATGAGTCATGATTTTCGAGCCTGTATGCCCGTCAGCGATGCTGTCCTCAGCAGACCATTTAAACTGCTGTAATAACAGGTCAGGGCTGCAGATTTGGGGAGGCATAAATGGATGCTTCAACATCTTTTTATGTTTGAGGGGATCCTGAGGAGCATCCATAGCCCTGCCCACCCTGCTCAGCACAAGGTTACTCTGCACAGGTGGGTGCAAGTTGCCCATGGTGGTGTCCCAAGGCTCCACGCTGCTGGTGATGGGGGCGTGGGTCTTGAATGCTGCCTGTAATGTGAAGAAGCATGCCATCTAATTATGGCCTGTATCATGAAGCAGATGCACAAGGGGGCAGAGTTAACTTTACCATTTCACGACTTTGGAGAGATGGAGGGAGACTTACCTCTGTAGCAAGCCCCTTGCGTCGTGTCTTTTGCCACGCCGTGCCTCAGTAGCTGTGGGAAGGTGTGTGCTGGCTGCTGCACCTCCCTGCGTGTGTCCCCGAGAGCCACGGGCTATGCAGTACTTGTCTGGTGGTCCCAGCACCCCCGAGCCAGGGAGCCAAGAGGGGTGGGCTTCCTCCTCTGGCCTCCAGCTGCACCGAGCGCTCGCTGTGATTCATTACTCAGTTTTGTTCTCCTTACTCTTGACATTTTTTTAGCAGATGTCACCAGTCTTTAGCCCAGTGGGGAGCATGCTTGGTAGCAACAGGGGCAAACCAAATCAGTCTTTATTGGTTTATATAGCTGAGGGTGTCATTTTTTTTTTCCCTGTTGTAATATGGACTTGGAGCAGATGTGGCTTCGTGGGGGACCGGTTGCTTTCACTTGTGGTTAAAGGACATGCTGGTGGAGAATGACACGAGAAACAGGCTGTTCTGTAATGAGGCAGAGAGGTGAAGGCAGCTGCCACAGACCTGAGCAGCAGAGGCTGCTGGGCAGAAGTCTTGCTGTCCTGCAGCTTCCCTCCTTCGAGTTCAGTGGCTGCACATTCACCTGGCCCTGCAGCTCGGGAAGAAGTTGAGTCCTGCACTTGAATCACAACAACCCCCTGCAACACTCCAGGCTTAGGGAAGAGAAGCTGGGAAGTACCTGGTGGGAAAGGATCCAGGGGAGGTTTGGTTGACAGGATGCTGAAGATGAGGCAGAGTGTGCCCAGGTGGCCAAGAAGGCCACCAGCATCCTGGCTTGTATCAGCGCGAGGTGTGCTGTGCTGTGATGTGGCCAGCATCACTAGGACAGGGATCATCTCCCTGGACAGGGCACTGGTGAGACCACTCCTCCAATCCTGGGTTCAGCTTTGGGCCCTGTACTCCCAGAAGGACCTTGAGGGGCTGTAGCATGTCCAGAGAAGGGCAACGAAGCTGCTGGGGAAGGGTCTAGAGCCCAAGTGTGGGGAGGAGCAGCTGAGGGAGCTGGGGGTGCTGAGCCTGGAGCAAAGGAGGCTCAGAGGAGACCTTCTGGCTCTGCACAGCTCCTGACAGGAGCCTGGAGCCAGGGGGGGGTCGGGCTCTGCTCCCAAGGGACAGGACAAGTGGGAACAGCCTCACGTTGAGCCAGGGGAGGTTGGGGTTGGACCCGAGGTACAGTTTCTTAACTGAAAGTATTGTGGAGGCCTGTGCCAGGCTGCCCAGGGCAGTGGTGGTTGGAGATGTGGGGTGAGGGACATGGGGCAGTGGGGACCTGGCAGTGCTGCGGGATGGTTGGACTTGGACTTGATGATATTAAAGGTCTTTTCCAACCTAAACAATTTTATCTTTCTATGATTCTGTATTGTGTTGGGGAGCTATGTGCCTAGCTGTGAGTATACTGCCAGGCACTTGATTCTGCACCCCTAGACATTTCCATGATTGTAGCAGCTTAGTCCTGTCCAGGACTCACAGCCTGTCTGTTTCAGTAGGATGCTGATGCCCTCATTTCTGGCACAGGAACATGCAGAAATCCTTGATGCTGGCAGGAAACAGGGTCAGCGTGGGAACAGGAGCAGCAGCCACGCCAGGCTGGAATCTGTGTGCAGTGGCTGCTCTGTGAGTCCAGGACACCTCTTGTGTCACTGACACGACATCGGTGCTGCTGGTGCACAGGCACAAAGTTCAACTGGCCCATCCAGCTTTGGCTGGTACCAACCCAGCAGATATTGGCGTGTGCCAGCTGCGTCCTCCCAGGCAGTGCCTGCAGACGGAGGGGCTGGCAGCAG